CTTTTACACCCTTTTAATCTGTTCTGTGACTTTACAAAATTATGACCCTTATCTAATAGTCTCTTTTCACGCTTCCTGGTTTTACGTAAGGGAAGTCATCATAGTGGAAAAAACATAACACTGCAACAAAGGCACAATTTATGAATGAGCATCCATCTTTTTATCTCATTACCACATTGAAATCAAAAACTTCGGTCCAAAATAAAGAAATAAATACCCAAGGGGGTGCAAACTTTTGCACTGTACATATTGTGAATATAAACTGCAGAATATTGAGCATGTGAAATATAGATTATGGAACGGCCATGCTGATCGTCAGTGTTATACCACAGTGCTGTTGAATTCTCAATTCTGATGTTTCTGAACATTAAACGTAACTAAAAATGGATAAAACTCACTAAGAATTGTAATTATAATAGAATTTGCTGTGCTATATGAGGAATAAACCACTTTAAATTGTGTCATGAAATGTTTAATTAGTTTTAGTTAGGTTTTTTTGGTTTATAATAGACATATTTTAGTGGTGATATGATTTAGTTCCAGTTTTTGTAATTTTAGTTCCAGACTAAAAGTAGTGTTTTTTTTTTGTTGTTTTTTTTTAAATGCATTATATAATATTGGAACTGTAAAATGGGTTTACATTATTACTATGAATTATCAATGAGCCATATAATAATTGGCTGATTAAATATGAATTTTTATATAAGGTAAAAAATAATAATAAAAAGTAGATTTATGGTAAGCTGCTGTAAAATTTCTTTTTGTGATTGAAAAAGCAGAAAATTATTTGATTTTTATTTCACTGAAATTTAAAAAAAAAATTTTTATTGTAAGACAGCACAGTGGGGAAGCTGATAGCTTTGTAACATTACCTTATGTCTCTAAGTGCATAAGGAGCTCTTTTAAAGCTCTGTTGAAAGAGGCCGTAAAAAAAAGACTTTTTTTTTTCCTCTCACATATATCCCGACATGGGTCTGATGTCAAGTCTAAACACATGGAAGCTATTATTTTCCATTCAACTGCGGTTTATGTTCATATGCCAACGATCATGCAACTTCAAAACCCAAACACTAGTTCAGAAAAAAATAGATCAAAAAATTAAATATGATTTCAGTGTAAAAGACTTTTTTTCAAAACCAAACTGTTTTCTAACCATAAAACCGACATTGCATTGGCCATAAACATGCCACAGACACAAACTCATTCTGTGCTTCATCCTAACCCACTCAATGTGTTGTGTATTAACGGTTTGATCGGTACACAGACTTCCTGCATCCACTCGCTGATACGTGTGCTGTTATTAGGAGAAAACGAGCGCAGGCTGCTTCGGGTTATCTCGGGTGAGTTTGTTTTGGCTGAGGAGAACATGACAGTCTCAACCAATCTGGCAAACAGGTGCTAACAGTGTGTGGTCAATAAAAAACAAAGGAAAACCTACCCAAAACCACAGGTAAACAAACATGCGATGCTCGTGAAATGCTAATGCCGGAGCAGAACGATCATTACTCATCGTTACGGGAAAATATGAGAATAATGTGCTAAGAGCTCTGCTTTCCGTATCCGGACAGCTGAAGCTGTAAATCTCCTGAATGATCATGAAGAATTTTAGAGACTACAGTAAAGCATGTTGTCCAGAACAAATGGAAACTGATTAAATACATATTTAGATATTTATTATGTAGGGTATAATTTAAGTACAAAATTAGGCGGTGTGCTGTTAAAGGAAAATAATCAGCGCTGGGGTGGTGTGATGAAGCCGAATTACCGTTACCACCCTAAAGTCAATTATTTTTCTATAATCACACATTCCTATTACACACAGCAATTTGTCAACACTAAACATTTTTATTTATTAAAGCACGACATATTGTATTTTTTATGCATTTATAGTTACATTTAATTATAGTGGAAAACCTGTGAAGCAAGTTACTTCCTGCTATCACTTACGTTATAGCAGCTACAAATAATCCTTCCTTTACCAGCCTCTCTTTATTCTCTCTCTTGGAGTTAATAAGTTAAAAAAAAATACACGTTACTGAGAAACCACAAAATGTGCAAACTTACTGACTTACAAAGCGCTCACACTGGAGACTCCTTCCATCAATGTTAAATAAATGTCTCCTTACAATTGTACGCTTTTCTTTGTTAAATAACAACACATTTTTAATCTGTTTATGTGGATCGTCCATCATACAAGTCCCTGTTACTATAGAAATGATAATGTATTAGAACGAGCGCATTAATATAAACCTGTAATTTGAATTAAAGCTGGAAATACCATCAGAGCTTCTGTTATAGAAAATGAATGAATTCTTTCTGACCAATCAGAATAAAGAATTCAACAGTTCTGTGGTACAAATACTATATATCAAGACCTTTGATGGTTCTGACCGTTTTAAGACTTTCTGAGCTCAGAGGAAAAATTTGCATAGCATGTTAACTAATTTTGCCAAAAACATCACATAGAACCTTATAATTCCAAGTTCTCCATATATTTAAAGGCCTTTATTCATTGCTGGGGTTTTTAAACACTGTGTATACTTACTGCCGCTTTATTCCACACTCCTACCTCGGTGCTCCATGTTTTAGGTGTACAGTTAGAGACTCTAGCTCATCTTTTTCCATGCGAACCTAAAGCCCTTCATCAGTTTCAGTTTCTGACCACAGCACCACTGTTAGCTGGATATTTTTGGTTGCCGGACTGTTTCTTAACCCGGCAGTTTACACGCAACAATTTTCACCAATCCAAATGAATTCCTTCCAATTGCAGAGTCCAACTGAACTGTTTATATGTAACCAAACCTCAGTACACTGTTTAAAATCCTTATGCACATGCACATTTTTTTTTTATTTTTTTTTTAGGGGAGCTGGCCTGTTGTTATGACACAAATACACGTGCAGAATTTATACCAGTATTCCTATCATAAAGATTTACATAGAGATTGTTTATCTTTATAAGGGATTATCCACAATCACTGGAAGTGTTTTATTCCCTTACACCACAGCAATTTGACACGATAATTTTCTTTTAGTAATTAAAGAACGCCACTTTATACTTTTAATCCATTTATAGTTACCCTTATTGTTATGAAACAACATTGAAACAAGTCAGTTCCTGTTATCACTTTAATTCAGACTAGCTTCAGGCAGTTTATTTCAATTTAGGCGTGTAGACGTGATTATATGTGTATACCAGTGATTATATGAATCACTGTTAGGTTATTAGGCTGCAGATAAATGAATCCACTAAGATGAATTAAATCACAATATTTGTCCAAACCGAGCCTCAAGTGTGAAAGCAGCCTTTTTCCAAAAGCCCGACTCCAGCTGGAGAAGTCACAGCGACACATCCTCTTCTATACCTCCAGCTGCATGCTCTTCTGCACTTCCACAGCTTTGACCTTTGACCCTCTGTCCTGGAACGGCTGCCTTTGTGAAACAAAGAGGCCCTTTTGTGCGCTGAGCGGATCAGCGCTGGATCGGTGAGAGGCGGGGTTTAGGCTCGATTTGGCCCGCGGGACTGTGTGTGAGCTACACTGCCATGCTGCTCTCCTCCTGCCAGCCGGGGAAAATCTGGGGCGCCGTATTGTGTAACTTTGCTGGAGGAAAAAAAGGGCGTTGTTGGACATTTTTTCTCCCACTCTCTCTGTCTCTCTCTCTCTTTCTATTTTTATGGCACTGTTTTGTTTGAGGTCCGTAACAGTGCTGTCCATTTTAGACACTATATTTAAACAGAAGCTCCATCAGACCTGAAGCAGCACTGAAAAGCCGTAAAGGATTTGTGTGTGTGTGTGTGTGTGTGTGTAAAGGCAGGATCCTCTGACATGTATTTGACCTTTGCCAACAGCTCATGGTTTAATAAACTGATTAATCATTAACTCTTGTGCAAATAAATCATATTAAGATAGTAAATAAGATTTTCCTGATTTAATGATTTTATGATATCATCATTCAGGTACATCATAGCACCTCTAACATACATTCAGGTGACAAATTAAAGGTAAAACCAACAAAGATTTTGTAGCAATGTGTGTGCGGTCGCCTTGGCACAGATTCTACACGTCTCTGGAACGGTACAGCGATGAACACCATTCTTCCAAAAGATATTCTTTCAGTTGGTGTTTTGATGATGATGATGATGATGATGATGATGATGATGCCAAAACTTCAAACTCTAAAATCTCCTCATAGGTGTTCAATTGGATGGGGTTCTGGTAAGTGCTAAGTTCATTCACACACACATACATACATATATCATACATCATTTTCATCCTCATCACACCATTCAGGGAGTGTGCACTGAGGGTGTGGGCGGGGTCATCCTGGGAAAGACCACGCCCATCAGGAGAGAAATGTGTCATTGTAGGATAAAGGTGAGGAGTCAGAAGAACTTTGTACTGATTTGCAGTGACACTTCTCTCTATAGGGACAAGGTGACACATGGACTCGCCTACTTGTTGAGAACATAGCGAAGGATGACTCATTTCATCTCTAGACCTGTGCTTATGGTTTTAGTGTCTTTGTAATGAAGGGTTTATGTGGACGGGCATTTCTTGCTGACAGCCTCATCTCATCCTGCAACATTCTCACTCACCTGAAGAACAGTCACTCCTCCTTTTTTCACACATGAACACTGAAAGTGCACTTCTGATCACAATTTCCAACCCTAGCTACTTACATCCTTCCCATAGCTCTAAGTGCTGTCATTATTCCTACTGAAACACAGCCACTTAAATCCATCCATCCATCTTCTGTACTGCTTATCCTACACAGGGTCGCGGGAAGCCTGGAGCCTATCCCAGGAGACTCAGGGCACAAGGCGGGGGCAGAAGATGGGGGGTGCCAACCCATCGCAGCGCACAATCACACACACACACACACACTACAGTGTAGACATGTCAATCAGCCATCAACACATGTCTTTGGACTGGGAGAGGAAACCAGAGTACTTGGAGAAAACACCCAGAGCACAAGAAGAACATGCAAACTCCGCACACATGGGGCAGGGGCGGAAATTGAACCCCAAGCCCTGGAGGTGCGAGGCAAACGTTCTAACCACTAAGCCACCGTGCCCCCTGCTACTTAAATCTTAAATGAAATTCCACCTTGAACAAGTTTCATATTATTTTCATTCATATCCAAGACTTATTTATTAATAAAAATCTAAGTTTACTATTTTAATTTACCCACAATGCTGATAGTGGTGTCTGTGGGATTTAGCCCTCGCTTCATCTCTACCTCAAGAGAGTGATGCAGCAGCGCTTTAGTCTTTCAGTCTGTCCAGCTCCCTCACTTCCTCATCTGTACCCTCTGCTCAAACAGATCGGCTTTCAAAAATTCATTTTTCACTGCCATCTTGAGCCGAGTCTCCGCTGTAACTCGGTGCAACTGCGTTGTATAGCCGCACTGCATTCTGGTACTTCGAGTCCAACGTTTGCACCAACGGCTTCACTGCTTCTGTGCTGGATTTCTCATTAATATGACATTGAACTTACCTGGAAAACGGGGAGTCAGAAAAGAGGCTTTGCTGTTTTGTTTTTAGGGGTGAATAGCAAAAGCTGAGTGTTATCCCTAATGTTTGAAACTGTTGATTTTTTTTCCCTATTAAACACCATTGTATGTGCATATAAAACAAGACTCACACTCCTTCATCATGCCGATGTCGACGCAGCGCTTGAGGCGACAGGCTTGGCAGTGTCTGCGGTTGTCTTTGGTGATGGTGCAGCTGCCGTTAAAGGGACAAGTGAAACTGGCCTTCCGCTTCATACTGCGCCTGAGCAGAGCAGATACACACACAAAGCATAAAGCAGTGAAGAAACATTAACAGGTTATACATTCAACTCTACGAATATTGGCACATTTCAAAAGATTATAGAAAATAAATATTACATATACTACAATTCAAATTATGCACTTTAAAAAATGGAAAAAATACTTTTTCTCTAACTATATGCTATTCTTTTATATTATTATTGATTTTTTATTATTTTAAATTGCTCTTGGTCCATAGACACTTTACTGATGTCTTCAACCCTGAAAAGGAAAGGGGGGGAAAGTGGCCACTCATCTCTTTTATTTAAGACAAAGACACTAGAAAGGTTTACAACCATGTCTAGGTTGTTTCTCATTAATTGCTGTACAGAACTTTTTCTTACAAGAAGAAGAAATAAAAGTGTGCATGTAAACTTTTCTAGAGTCGACATCATAACTAAAGCAGACAAGTGGTAGATTTTTTTCCTCCAAGCACCTGGTGGTTACTGTAAAACCCTGGTACACTCCAGTTTTCTACTGTTACAGCCTTGACCGTGCCATTTGAACGCGTCTGTGCTCACCGGTGCAAGTGATTTATAAATCACTTTCTAATTATCGTTATCAGTCTACAACTATTTAAGGCTCAATGAACCATTATAACATTAAAAGTTGATTATTAATGCTGAGTTGTGTTAAATCTTTGCCTTCGGCTAAATACAAAAAAAAAAAGAAAAAGAAAGAAAGAAAAAAAAAGTTAACTTAATAAACTGGACTATTTGGGATTCAAACAAATTCACAAATTAGAACAAAAAGGAAACTTTCTCAATTATTCAATTAAATGTATAAGTAAATAAATAAATAAATAAATAAACAAGATAATTAATAAATAATTAAATAAGCAACTTATGGAAGTGAGTAAATCAAGTAAGAAAATAAGTAAATAAATAAGTAAAAAATAAAAGAAAAATAAATAAATAAATAATTTCAGTTAATATGTTCTTTCAAAAGACATAAAATAAAAATCTAAGAATTAAAAAATCCCATGTATGACATTTACACAGTGCTGTGCATTTTCACCATCTGTGTTAAGTGAAAATGTTAGTGTGATTTATTAACGCTGTAACTCTTATAAAAAGTCATAATGGAGAAGTGTCCGAAAAGTTACAGATCAAACACACTCTTCGCTCTGTAAACTGTCTGGGCTCCGCACCGCTCGGGGCCAAGAGCCGCAGTGACGTGCTGCACACGAGGATTATTTAAAAAGGGCTAAAATATTGCTCACATGGCTTAGCCACTCAGCTACACCCATCCTAAAACACACATACAGCCGGCCACCCCACAAAACACACTCGAACACGAACACACACACACACACATACACACACATACACACACAGAGCCACAACCACTTTGAGCCCTCCCTCCTATCCTTTTAATAGTAATGAACAGAAACATTTATTTCATGCGTGGTCACGCTGAACACACTCTCAAAGAACTTAGGAAAACACATGCCGCGTCTCCTGGCACACTGTTCCTATTCATACGCACAGGCTGACTACGCAGAGCAAAACACACACACACACTCACACACACACACACACACACCAAAGTGCAAATTCAGAGGAAAAGACAGATTTAATCAGCGTTTAACTCATGTAGTTTACACTCATCTCAACACTTCAAGACTTAAAGGACTAAATGGATGTAAATGACAGATGGGCAAACAGGTTGTAGCAAAATCTGCGTTTCTGTGATTTCCTGAAGAAAAATGTTTAAAATGCCGGAAAAAAAAAACTAACCACAATCAACAAAAAAAACAGCTCAATACTCAGAAATTCAGCTGAGCTTCACGCTGAATATTATTTAACAAATAGTGGTTTGTATTTATTACCCCACAGTGATTGTGTAATATATTAACAATGTTGTGACTGAATTCCATTCATAATTAATTACTATAATCACGTATTCATAGTTATTATAATAATTCATAGTTATTATAATAATTAGATATAATTAGTCTTATTATTAAACTAAATATGCTAGATAATACCCATGGGGCAAAAGATTATTTTATTACAAAATATGTTTCCACGATATTAGATTTTAAAATCTGTAATAAAAATGTTTAAAGATAAATACAACCATTTTTGCTTGTTTTTATATCATGTTTTGAAATCAAAAAGACAAAAATGAAACCATATTTTATTAAATATTCATTCTATATTGAAAAGAACATTCCAGAATGTGTGTGTGTGTGTGTGTGTGTGATTTTCAAAAACAAATCAAGCATGGGGTAGTGTGATGAGGTGAAGTGAAGTTGATTATTTTCCAATAACAGCATGCTCCGAAATGTTTTATTCCTCCTACGCCATGGCAATTTGCCAATGCTAACAGTTGTTTATAAATCTTTTCACCATTTATAGCTACATTTAAAGTTGTGGAACATTATCACCTACGTTATAACTGCTATAAACTGTGCCCTTGAATCTCTGTTTCTTTTCTACTGCTATTGCTAAATTTGACTTACTTTTAAACTCACTATCAGGAGATTGCATGTTAAACGACAGTGTGTACTTAAATCTCTGCTGAATCCCAGCAGATCTCAGCAGGCGTTGGGGTTATTCGTCATGTCGTTCACCCCATACCAGGGGACTGATGGTGTTTGATGTTACACTTGGCATCAAGTTGAAATTTATCAAAACAGAAAAACAGATGATAAACTCTGGCCCACCAATTACCCTGGGGCCAGTTATCATGTGATATTGGATGAGTAGTCTAGACCAAACTTTTTGCAGTCATGGACCACTTTAAATGCAAAATACACTATATGGCCAAAAGTTTGTGGACACCTGATCATCACAACCATATGTGCTTGTTGAGCATCCTATTCCAGATTTATTCCTCTTTGCTGTTATAATAAGCTCCACTCTTCTGGGAAGGCTTTCCACTAGATTTTGGAGCGTGGCTGTGGGGATTTGTGTTCATTCAGCTACAAGAGCATTAGTGAGATCAGGCGCTGATGTTGGGTGAGGAGGTCTGGGGTTCAGTCGGTGTTCCAGTTCATCCCAAAGGTGTTCAGTGGGGTTGAGGTCAGGGCTCTGTGCAGGCCACTCGAGTTCTTCCACTCCAACCTTCTCACACACCATGTCTTCATGGAGCTCGCTTTGTGCACAGGGGCATCGTCATGCTGGAACAGGTTTGGGCCTTTTAGTTTCAGTGAAGGGAAATTGTAATGCTACAGACTATACAACTGTGTGCTTCCAACTTTTTGCCAACAGTTTGGGGAAGAAGCAAATATGTGTGTGGTGGTCAGGTGTCCACATACTTTTGGCCATATAGTGTAAATTCCAGGAACTCCGTCGGTATTTTTTTAAATGAACATAATCCACTAGTCAAATATTAGGTTAGTTACAACATTATTAAATAAAATATTATTGTTTGGAATAATATTTCAGCTATTTCAAGTTTTATTTATTTATTTATTTATTTATTTATTTTTAGGTTTGGATTAAATCTATTCAATTCAAGTGAACAGACAAACAGGTTAATATGCTTAATAATTAATAAATATAATAGCTTTCATAATGGCGATCAATTTTTTAAAAAAAAAGTCACGGACCACATGGTCATGCTTCACATACATCTGGACCATACTTTGAGAACCACTGGTCTAGATAAGGTGCTAGTATCTGATGCTGAAGCAGCATCCCATGTAGATTTCTCATCTTATTAAAAAAAATAATAATACAAATTTTTATAAAATGTGGGAAAAAAACAACAAAAGCAAAACTTGTTTGCTTCATTTGCTTCATAGTTTATCATCATAATTTAATCTCTATTTAAAATCTGATATGCATATGCCTGGCAGTTACCGGCAGTACAAATCAAAAGATTACAAACGCAATATTTTTTCCTATTTTGAGAAGTTGTGCTTTGATAGGCTATCTCAGATTGCTATACAAAACAGCTTGGTTTGTCATCCGGTATGCCTTATGTAAGCACTGGTACTGTATCCGCTACGAAACCAGAGATGCTCTTATCTTCACAGCATTAAAATCCGACAGACTATCAGTGCGGAAACCATGTTCTGAATTGTGTTTGATTTATATGTGGTGTAAACCACATGTACAGAGGGACTGCTAGGCAGTGAGGTCTGGTTTTACACAGACAAGCCACACACAATTAATGTGTTATAGATATAGCAATATACCCTAATAAACAATAATCACAAGATTATTATCTAGATGGGGCATGTCAAAAAAATATGCTGTGAGGTTTTCAAAACATACTTTTTACACAACACACACTGCCAGCCAAAAAGT